ATACACTGTATATGAGTCTAGCCAAAGATATTACCATATACATTATCATCAACAAATAATATTCCATTTTTTGTGTTCATTAAATGTTTTGACTTTTTCCCCTTGATTCCCTTTTTCTTGCCTTTCAGATCTTTTTCAATCTACTGTCATAATTCATGTGTGTCCTGTTCCTTTTTTTTTGCATTCTTTTTTTTTCCAATTTATTTATTTGCATTCATTCACTGTACATCATTACAACATACAAAATGAGATTTTCCATCCAGAGTACACTGTATATTGTCTCAATCAAGCACATCAACAAACATGTTATTGTCAGCAAATGATTTTCCATTTCTTGTGTTCTGTACATTTTGATTTTTTTTCCCCCTGTCCTTGATTCCCTATCTCTTACCCTCTGCCATCTCCCACTCTCCTCCCACACTGTCTCTGGTATCTATGTTTGCTTTCCATACTGTTTTCTCCCCACATTTTATTGAATCACCAAAGACCTTAGCAATCCAAATATCGTCATAGCAAACACAGGTGACACACACATTTTCATGAACACAAGTCTAACTTTACACATCCTATAAAGTAGTACCTAGCTGGGGCTACATATCTTACTACAGTCATTGAATAGATATTTTTTTTCCTGAAACTTTTTTTTTGTAACTCAATTTACATTCCTTCCCTAAGCATCATCACAGCACACAAAATGCGATATCTATTGCTTTTAACACTGACTTACGTAATAGTAAGGAAGATGAGAAAAATTCGCTACGCTATCTGCTGGCCCTAAGAATGGGAAAAATTCAATTACAGCAAAGACTGTTGGTTTATCTTTCAGATCGTAATGGTTCCCTTTTATAGGAGTGGTCGTATTGTTAGGCCGAATTGACACAACTACCGCCATGTTAGACCCTCAAGGACCGAACCCGGGGAGTCTGAGGCCACATAAATAAACAAAGTAAGATGGGCCCTGATGATGCCAGAGCCAGGTCAACCTGACCTCAACTGAAAGTCCTAATCTAAACCTAAACATATAGTGACAGCTAACTTTCACACACCCCCTCCCTCAAGTGGAAAATTACTGACTGTACTTCCTGCATTGTGATTCAGAGCTATAAAAGATCCCTTTATCTTAGGCTTGGGGTCCTTGTTAAGGCCTGCTGCAACGGGCGGAAACTCAGACCCCAGCTAGCTGGAAAAAGAATAAAAGCCTCTTTTGCAGTTGCATTGTCGTTGTCTTTTCTGTGTCTCCATCAGTTAGACCAATCTCTGGACCCTTACATTGGGGGCTCGTCCAGGATAGGTCAGCCTGGTGAACACCAGATTAGACGCGACAAAGGGAGGCTCTGCATTTTGCCGTGGAAGGAGGATTGATCACCTCCATCTAGGACTTGCAAGGGGCTAAAGAGCCTGTCTCAGACCTGTCTTGCTCTGTTAAGGAGAGTTGGCCGCCTCCGTTTGGGACTTGCAGGGGGCCTTGGAGCCTATTCCCAAACCTGTCTGATTCTGGTAGAGAATTCTCCATGGAGGAACCGGGTTAGCCACCCTGGAGGCTCCACCTCAAGTCGAGGGAGACGTCCCTGACAACCAGGAGATCAACGCATGCCCACGTTGGACGCCATTAGAAATGTTGACACCATAAGGAACTAAATTCTGTCTTCATCTAATAATAAGTAAATTCCGTGAATATTGAGGCTGTGTAAGTGTTGTTTGCAGCATTAAAATGGTGTTGACATCATTGGAGGAGTGCATGGGTGTGCATGCATGCATGCCCAAAATCCCCAAAGGGAGAAATGAAGAGATTGCAGTATGACCATCCCTTACGAGGGTACTCTCTCACTTTCCCACTTCTGTTTTTTCTCTCATTCTGTGTGTGTGTGTGTGTGTGTGTGTGTGTGTGTGCGTGTCTCTCCAGCGAGCCTTTTCTTTCTTGCAAAATTTAATAAGTAAAGAAAGTTTATATCAGTAAGGCCAATGTCTGGGCTTCTCCCTTTTATTTATTTATTTTAATTTGCTATAGGGTGCCTGTGCTCACCAGAGAGACAGAGAGTGGGAAAATGAGAAAGCACCCTGTAGGGAGGATGGCCACACAATTCCTTCTTCTCCATTCTCCTCTTGGGATTTTGGGCATGCTTGCATGTACTCAGTGTGTTTTTCAAGTCACTAAATCCAGGACTCCAACTGTGAAGTGGTCATGTGAGATCCAGCACCTTAACCACCACACCACCTGCTTGCCCACTTCTCCATTTTATAGGTCAAGCATTCCTGATTCATCGTATTTCTTTTTTTATTGCCAGAGTGTATGTGTGCTCAGGAGAGGAAGAGAGGAAGAGATAGAGACAGAGAAGGAAAGGGGAAAACAACACCCCAATGGGATACAGTCACACTATAATCCTTTTTACTCCATTTCTACATCCCATCAGGATGTAGGGAACATATGCACACATGCCTCACATGTTTCTCAAGCCAGTGGAGCTGAGATTCAAACAGCAGTTGGCCACGTGGGATCTGGCTCACTATGTACAATGCTTAGCTACTGTGCTGCGGGGCTGAACCATACGTTCTTGTTTTTGTTGTGTTTACATGGCTTAAAGTCATTTTTGAAATCTAGACAGTTTAAATAACATGGTATTTCTAGAAATCAGATTCTCCCCTCTCCTAAGTATTGACTGTCATGGCTGCTTATTGTAGTTGGATAGCTGTTTGCCTAGTGACTTTCCTCAGCTGTCTCTGTATAGACACCGAAGTCTCTACTAATGATTGGGCAGAGATTTTCTGAAATGCCTGGAACCAATACATCTCTCAGACTTTGCTGAGGGGCTTTGTGTGCCTTTGGGGGCATGTCTACAATACTCAGCCAACCAGTTAAAGACCATGCCTTGCTTATACTTCCTGCTTAGGAAGAACCTCAGGGTGAGCCAGAGGTGAGAGCCTAGGGCTGTCTCACATCTTTCTTGAGCATTCTCACAGCCCTAGGAATATACATAGCTTTACATGTGCACATGGTCTTCTAGACTCCCAGGATTATATGAGAACTTTTAAAACCCCTATTGACTTCTCATTTCCCAGATTTTTCTTTAAGCTTTTTGACTAATCTAGCATTTACTCCAAAGGATATCCACCACCTCAGGCAAACAGAAAGTTAAGACAATTGCCAGTGATTGTTTTTGCCAAAGTCTCTTGGGCAGATGGATTATTGTGCTATGTGATTTCAGAGTCAGGTTAAATACAGACAGCCTTGCAAGTGATGTCTTCCAGGTAACTAGCAGACAGGGTAGATAATGACTGTTCTTTGGGAATAAGGCTTTGAAAGAGCTCCATGTTTGTTTTGCTCCTCTGTTGGCTGCACTGTCATGGAGGTTGTTATTTTCAAGGCTACCATGGAGATAGAGAACAAATGACAGGACAATGCCACAAAGCTTGCTATTCATACTGAGCTTCAGTAGTTCCCCAGATGACTGAAAGCTTTTAGTTAATTTCCAAATTTTTTAAAAATTATTTTTATTTAACTTTATTCATTTATTTTAATTTGACCAGAGAGGGACAGAGTGAGAGAGAGAGAGAGAAAGAGAGAGAGGGGGGAAAGTGAGAAAGCAAGCTGCCAGGTCCAGGACTCAAACCACAGTCAACCATGTGGGAATCCAGCACCCTTAACCACCATGCCACCTGTCAGGCCCAATTTCCAGAATTTTGAAAAAGCTCTTTCTAAACAATTTATTTTTTGCCAAGTTTTTCATTGTTCTTATGGAGGAGAGAGTTTTCACAATTGCTCATGCAATCATTTTTGTTGACCTCTCCCTTGCTGTTATTGATGTTACCCAGGTTTTGGCCAGAAAAGCAAGAAATGAGAACTTATGATTAAAATAATTCCCTCAGGGACCAGTAGTTGGCGTAATGGCTATGTCACTGGATTCCCACGTAATCGACCGCGGTTCGCGTCCTGGACCCGGTGGCTTAAAACTCATGCCGGGCGCGTGTGCGTGCATGCCCAAGATCCCGAGAGGAGAATGGAGGAGAAGGGATTGCGGCGTGACCATCCCCCCTGGGGGGTGATTTCTCGCTTTCTGTCTCTATGTCTCTCTCTGTCTGTCTGGCTAGCGCACGTGCCCTATAGCAAAAACCTCTCCCCCCAAAAAAATAAATAAATAAAATAAAATAAAATAATTCCCTCATTTAATTGAGCTAGCTTTGCTGGGTAGAAGTACCCTGGAACCGTAGAAGACATACGAGGACAAGTATTCTATTCATATTACTTTTTTAATCTTTTTGTCTTAAAGTATGATGTGATATCTGAGCCAGCTCCATGGCCTGGTGATTAAAAGGTCCAGATCCCACAAGGCAGTTTGAATTCCAAACCATCCGTTTGAGAAACACACTGGATGTATGTGTGTGCCAAAGCCCCAAATTTCAACAGGATGGAGAAAAAGGAATTGTGGCATGACCACACTCCGTTGGCAGGTACTTTCTCCTTTTCTCATGAGCACATGTACCCTCTGGCAAAATAAAAGATAAATAAATAAATAGTATGATGTGAAGCCAATGAACCTGTATTTGAATCTTGTTAAATGGGTCCACGTTATTTCACTATGTGGCTTAAATATAAGCTCTAACCAGTCTTCTATAATTGAGCTTTCAGGAATATTTTTAGGTATTAGCCTCCCCTCCCCATATTACATTAATTTAGTTTACTAAAAATCTCAGATTCACTTTTGATTCATTATTAAACTTTAAGTTTCTTTCAAGGAAACAAACCTGAAAATTGGGGGACTTAAGATAGTATCTGGGCATTTCTATTTCAACTGGTGCTAAACTATATCTGAACATGGAATAGAATTCAGAACTCAGAACTCCATGAAAGAGAGCAAGTGTCCAGAGACCTGATGTCACACAGGCTGTGTCCTGGCTGGTGTAGAAGTTGAAGCCAGACAACGCTGTCTATTCTACTACTATCTCTGGTGGAAGATTGGGCTACAAAAAGCAAGCTCTTCAACCTTGGGTCTTAATACTTAGAATTGTCTTTCTCAAATCTTTGATTTGAGAATTTGAGAAATTTCGATAAGATGACCTGTCCCCTAAAGTTTATTTTAATTGTACTTTTTTTTTACTTTCGGCCTTTGTATAGCTATGAAGAGTTAAGACTTAGTAAGTATGCTTTGACAATCATATTGTTTATTCTCCTCTGGCTCACTTCCCGTTTTCAAAGAATTGAACAAACTGCTTTTCCCAAATTGGATTTCCTGAAAGAATGTAGGATTAGGATGAAAAATGACAAAAAATGATGAAATTTTTATCTTGGGACCAGCAGATGGCATAATGGTTACGTCGCTGAACCTCCCACGTGGTCAACCACCATTAGAGTCCCAGACTTAGTAGCCTGAAACTCACCCTGGGTGCGTGTGCATGTGTGCCCAGATCCCAAGAGGAGAATGGAGGAGATGAGATTGTGGTGTAGCCATCCCCACCCACACTCCCAGGGGAGTAATTTCTAGCTCTCTGTCTGCCGGCAGGTGGCGTGGTGGTTAAGGTGTTGGACTCCCACATGATCAACTGTGGTTTGAGTCTTTGGTGGCTTGCTTTCTTGCTCTCTCTCTTTCTGTCTCTCTCTCTCTCTCGTCAAATTAAAAAATAATAATATGGGACCAGCAGGTGGCATAATGGCTATGTTGCTGGACTCCCATATAGTCGACTGCAGTTTGAATACCAGACCCCCCGAGGCTTAAAACATGCTGGGCACATGCGCATGCGTGCCCAAAATCCCAAGTGGAGAATAGAGAAGAAAGGATTGTGGCATGGTCTTCCCCTCTGTGGGGCGATTTCTCGCTTTCTATCTGTCTGTCTGTCTGTCTGTCTCTCCAGTGAATACATACGCCCTATAGCAAAAATCTCCAAATAATAAAATAATAATAATAATAGTAAATAAAATTAAATAATTATTTTTTAAAAACCTATCATATACATAATGGATTTGTAATTTGTTCAGTATTGTCAGAAAATAACATATTCAAATAGTCATATCTTTAGGGGAGTCTTGAGCCTGATATATAGCAAAAGGTCAGTTCTAATACAAACGTAGTTTAGGAGATATTTGGGACTGAAACCATTAACTGCAGTTCAGGCCTGTTTATTATTTATAGTGTGTATTACTGTCTATGAAAGCATAAAATTTCTTCCTACTGTTTTTCCTTTTGCTTCCTTTCTCTCTGGATTTTGCATTTTAGTTTCTTCTTATCCACAAATTAACTCTTTTACCAACCCTTGGACCAGCTTAGAATGCCTAGAAAGATCATTTGTGTTTTAGACACATACGGACCTGTGTTTGGGATCCATTCTTCCTCCACCGAAGCAAGCATATTGAGGTTGCCAAGTGGCTGAGTGGGGAGGGAGGCCATGCTCACTGTTTTCCTGTCTTTTCCTGTCTAGCAAATCCTTATCAGTCTTTTGACCATCGGACGATAATTATGCTCATCATTGTTGGTGGTATCCTGGCATCTGTGATCATGCTGACATGTGTTGTCTTCTGTCTTTACTTCAAAGTATCCCGAGCATTGAGGTGAGTCAGTGAGTAAGAGTGAATAACGCCCTCTCAAATGGGATACCTACGGCTCTGCTTGAACAGGGTCATTTCTTGCTGCTGAGGTCATATCCTTAATGAGATTAAGGAGAGTGGGTAGGTTTGGAAAAGCAAAGGCAGGTAGGTATAGAATCTTTTTTTTTTTTTCCTGATTTAGATTTTCAAGCTCATAAGTAGAATGTTTCCAGCCTGGGGGCCCTGTGTCAGTGAAGCTTTGCTGTCAGTTGACCTCACTGAGTTTACCATAAGATATTTAATTCGACTCCATGCCTGAGCCTCTATCTGCCCTGAGTTCGTAGATTACACACGCTATAGGGTTGCTTCATGAATGAACATCTACCCTGTACTCATACAGAGGACAGACTGGATTGATCTCCTCTGGCCTGATTTTGGGCGCTTTCAAGATACTCCTTCATTCCTTGTCAATGGCTTCGGGAACAGTAAGCTGGGATAGCTGAGCTGTGTGAATATTCTGAGAACAGCTGGCAAAGGGTCGTAGGTCAGACAAGAGATGACTAAAGTTGGGGAAGAAGACCCTTCAAGTATGGAAGAGATTGGTTGTCAGAAGCAATTGTGTTACCAATGTAGAGAGTTAGATGGTAAACCCCAAAGCCTAGGCCATAGCCTACTGCAACACTTTCTCTGTCATTCCGGCATCTTGAGGGCCTGCAGTGACCAGGCTTATAATTATTTTCCCCTTACTTTTGTGACCTGATTTTATATCGATAGCAGTGGTAGGAGGGAAAGGGATTAGAAAATAACTTAGGATCGGGGTAAAAAGTTTAAATCTAGGGCTGGCATCACATGTGTGATTGGCCGCAGCCCTAAACTTTCCAGATACCTCAACAATTGTAGAAAACAGACTTGAGAAGAAAAATTCTAAGCACATGCTTTGTGTATGTCTTTTCTTAAGAGCTGCAATGGAAGCTGATGATGTGGCTGAAAACTGTCATAATCTAGCCAAGATCACCGAGAGCAAGTGCTTGCATAATAAGTTTGCCCGGGCCAAAACCACCACCACTGAGTCTTGTCGTGCCCTCCAGTGCTGTGATGAATGTGGCATATATGCAGATTTTGATCCCCTGCCACCTTGCTATTGTGACATAAATGAGGGACTCTGACTT